CAGCAGGCATTGAGGGTTGACCTGTCTGCGGTAATGAAGCACTTATCAACAACTGAAGCTCAGTTTATAAGGCGAGTGCCTGGCACCAGAGCTTAGCCCTGCCCCGGCCCATTGTTCCCTTGCGTATGCCATGGCCTCGTGACCATGAGGTGGAGAGGAAGGGTAGAGAAGTGCTTTAACTGTGTTGCAACAGAATCTAGTGCCTGTGGCCTGACAGGAGAGGCACAGTGAAATCTGCCAGCATTGCCATGGACAGGCCTCCTTTTCCTGGGCTGTGGGACACTGGGCTCTAGAAGGCTGCTGTAAGGGGTGTCAGGGGAGCTGCCTGCAACTCGGTTGGCATGAAGCCCACTGGAGCAAAATGCCCCACGCTGTCACCCACATGATAGAGAGCTCCATCAAACACCACCCATTGGTACATCTGTGGCCTTGGTGCTAACAAGCTCAGCCTAGGCGGCTGTGGCAGGATCTCTTGCAAAAGCTAATGTAGGTGCTGAGAGGGAGCCAGCTGCTCCCAGTATCAAAGTCCTTGGCCATAGAGCTCTTGGGCAAAGCCCATGGCTTCCCTCCACTGACCCTCCAGTCCTAAGCAGAGGCAAGGTTCTTGGGTAGTAGTACGTGCTGTGCCTCTTTGCCCATTGATGGCTAGTCCTTCAGGCTGCCGTGAAGCTCATGGTCCCAGCTTCATAGTGCTGCACAATCCCTGCTCTACTTGGTGTAGGCCTTTCCACCCCCACCCCCTGGCCAGCTGGGGCACTTGTACCAATGCAGGGGTTGGTGCTTTGGCCCAGGAGGCTGTGTTCTCCATAGCAGTGAGTGTCTGTCCCAGATCCCTTCAGATGTATCAGTCCCCCTTGTGCCTAGACAGTTCCAGCTGCGAGAGGGGTTGCAGCATGGGGAGCAGGGTGTGACGTGGTGGCTGCCCTTCAGATCCTGTGAGCTGAGGGACTTCTCTGAGGCCCAGTCCTCCTCCATAGTGAAAGAACAGCTATTGACTCAGGGTTAGGCAGGGGGAGAAGGGAGGAAAAGCTGCAGGATGGTGTAATGCCAAACCTGTCTAGCTCATGACACATGGGGTTCACCTGTCCAGGTGGAAAGAAATGAAGTGGACCAGGGTGGGTTGGGAAAGCTCAATCCCTTCCTTGCAGTCAGCAGGATCCCACTAAAGTGAAGGAGGAGAAATGGTTTTCACAGAGACGTAATGAATTGGAGCTGGATGCCCTCTGCTTCCCTTGCCAGTCTGGATGGGGACAAGAGTGTGAGTATTTCTGTGCCAGCAGTGTCCTGGTAGGTAAATAGTGTAATGGCAGGAAAAGGCTGGTGTTTAGCAAATCGGAGCAAATCAAACCTGTGTTCCCTCTGCAAACTCATTATCCAGGAGCCTATTCAGCAGCTCCATTGTTGGTGACGGGCACAGATAACGCACGAGTTTTCATCATGGACCGTTATTAAACCCGTATCTTTTCAGATCAGCATGTTTTTATTACATCTCGGGGGTGAGTGGCATCAGGATCTGGCACTGGAGAAGCTGTCTGGTATCAGTGACCCAGCACGTTTGTTTTATTGTCTGGAATGATTCAATTACAGCCCTTCTGTGGTGGTAATGCCCTGATGGCTCGCTCCCCCTCCCCCACGCTTTTGCCCGGGTAATTAGAACAAATAAACTTGAAAGCCTTCATAATTTTTTAAAAGCATTGCTTCTCTTCCAATTGGTTTTCCTGACAACAAGCCCCGTGGTGAAGGAGGTGCAAAGTATAATGAATTCAGTGTCTGAGCCTCTTGCATGTGCTTGTCACACACTGGTATTTACACTTCCAGCCCTTTGTTAGGAGTGATGGGGAGGTCCAGTATGGTGGCAGGCACTGGGGCACTGTCTGCCAGGACCTGTAGTCTGCCAGTGAGACCTCTGTAGAAGACAGGGTGGCTGTGCGCTGCATTGTGATGCCCCAGTCCTGCCATCTGCCCACCCAAGATCTATGGAGGGGGTTTGTCTTGAACAAATTCATTAGGAAACTTCATTTCTTTTTGTTAGGTTGGGATCAAATGCTAGCCCCAAACCCGGGACTTAAATGTCACCCAAGCTGGTTGCTGATAATGATCCCAAGCTGGCTGCTGATCACCCAAGCTGGTTGCTGATAATGATCTGCCCACAGATATTTCAGCATAGATGGTACATACCGAATCGTTGCGCTTGGCTGCCAATCTTTGTTAGTTGGCTCCTCTGTAACAGTGAAATATCACTTCAATGTGTTGAGAAACAGCTAATAATGCAGAGAGGCGCTTGATAAGTGTTTTCCAGGGCATTGTCTGAAAAAGATGAACAGCTTTTGTGAAGCTCTGCTTTTATGATTCCTGTTTGCTGTGCTGGGTTTAACCAGAGTCTCTGATCGGAATGGACTTGGACACTGGCCAACATGCTGAGGCCTATCAGATGTGGCCTTGTAATGATGCCTTGAATCAAAGCTGTTAAGAAAAAGGGCTCTGTATTTTCCCATGTGCTTGCATCTATGTCCCTATCTCCTTCCTGATCCCACAAGGGAGCTGGGAAAATGGCAGGATGTGAGGGGAGGCCCCCTGAGCCCGCTTTGAAATGGTCTCCAACATTGACAGTTTCCTAGTCCTTCTGGAGCCATGCACATAACTCTTCCTCACCAATGGTTTGTTCCCATCCTGGAGTACTGATTTCTTTCACGGTCCTATGTCGCCTTGAGAACCAGCAGGCTCATCTTTTTCGGGGAACAATGTGGTTACTGTTGGTAGCGATTTTTATCAGATGCTTAGGAATAAAATGGATTTGGTTTGGATGAGGCTGCTCCTGCTTCAGGCAGAGGGGTGGACTTGATTTCTGGAGGCTCCTTCCAGCTGGACTTCTCTGAGTCTACCTGGATTCGAATGGTGCCCTCTGCCTTGCTGCGTGGTGTGCCAGGCAGGTCACATCATACAGAAAAAGCAAAACCCTCCCTTTTCTGGCCCTCTGGTTTACACACAATCCTCAGCACAAACCTGTCCTTCCATGATCAGCCATCCTGGCTGCAGTCTTCTGGGGCAAGACCAAAATGAAACGTGAGAGCCATAAATAAAATTTTCTCCAGGAAGCTTTATTGAGGACTGTGCTACCCGAGGAGACTGGACTAAGCTAACAGGCAAACTTCAGGGCACACTGCAGAATCCTCAGTTTGATGCAGCTTTTCCCTTTGAAGTTAGTCTTGGGTGCTTGGTTTTGCTTTAACCAGAGAAAGCCAAGCAGAGGGTGTCCCCGAACCTGGGAAGCATGAGGGGTGGCAGTGTGGGCTGATGGAATGGGCCTATTTCACACGGCTTTTTGTGGGGTGGAGAAGGAGGGGATGTCACTGAAGAGTCCTAGATCAGGGAATCGGTGGGTATCCCCTGTCACTTAGAGACAGCCCACAGCAGCCAACCAGAGGACAAGTGCCTGCTCAGAGCACAAAGGAGCAGACAAGGGGCAATGGCTTTTATGCTTCACCACTTCTGCTGAATTCAGCCCTGTTGCTGAGGCAGTGCCTTGTTGTTTTGTAGATAGACAGTGTAGATTGCTTTAATTTCCACCCAACTATTGGTATGGGTGACAGTTGGCAAGCTAGACACCCATTTCCCACAGACTTTGATGCTGGCGTGCTGCAAGGATGGTAGGACCCTTTGACAGTGTCAGGCAATGGGCAAGGAACGTCATAAGGCTGCAGAGTCCAAAGTCCCAGTTCAACGCCAGAACCCAGGCTGTCCGTACAAACTGTTTGGCCCCATTGGCCCACGTATTGCCATGCTGCTCTTTCCGTGGGATGCCTGCCTTGATTAGGGTGCAAGGAATGAGGCAGTGATTGGACGTGGTGGGATTCTCCAGTTGTTGTGACTCATTGACTGGCTCACTGCGCACGGTCCAAACCATTGTGTATGTCCAGGACACCATTCGCAATCTTGATGATGTGGGAGCATGGAAAGCTCTTGCCACTCTTGGCATGGTGCAATGAGGAGGAAGTGACCTTCTTTGCCTGCTGCTTATTCAGTCACGGGGAAAAATGAACTCACCCCAGCCTGTGGATGGACAATGCCTGGTGAGTTCTCACTTCCTCTGAGGAAAGCTGTGGGAAGAGAGGGCTGAGCGCAGGTCTTGGCTCTCCTCGCATTCACTGCTCTCTTGGTATCGATGTCTGGAGCCCTGCAGGCAGGCAGTTTCCTTTGCTCTTAGTATTTGTTGCCACAGTGGTCCCAGCAGACTAGACAGCAAAGAAAATCCACTGCTGTCCTGCATCTCTGTTGAAGCTGGAGCAAAACCCCTGGGGAACCAGACCAAATATCCCAGCAGCCCCCTGC